CCCCCCCCCCCCCCCCCGCCGCCCCCCACCCTGCACCCTACATGGCAGCTCTCTGCTCCACACAAAGGGCTGTGGTAGCTCTGTGGTTGTGTCAAAAATGGCATCCGATGTAAAAACAATTGCCACACCTTCGTGCGAATTAGTTTGCTGTGGTGACCCCTGAAGAAGGAGCAGCCAAAAAAAAGGGGGGGGGGGGGGATCTCTTTCTCAACTTATTGTAAACTTCTAGGGAACAAATAACTTTTGATATTTAGCCCTCTGGTTTGTGGTTCTGAATGACCCATACCTGCATTGTCTGGAGGACTGGACTCAATACTCATGGGTTGTGGAGATGAAGACGACATTGAAGTGCTGGATACTGCTGTCAGAGCAGCAGCTGCTGAAGCTAGGGCGAGCTTCTCCTGCTGGGCCTTGCGGGCCTGCATAGCGTCCCACTCCTCAATCTCTTTGTCAAACAGCTCGTTGTCTTCCATCACATACTGCTTAAGGTCTGGAGGCAATTTGTCCATGCCGCTGAGAACCTGACCTGTTTCTTTATCAAACTCCTCTGCAACAGAGAGACATAATGCACATTGTATGAGCTGCTGGAAAACGCAAAAGCTTTTAAAGTAATACATCAGATCAAAAAGAGGTATCAAAGTAAGCTAAGTTTTGTTAGGATATCTAGTGCAAATTCTTAGCTTTGATATGAGGATTGCCACATTTAAATGGGATAAAGAGTTACAGCTCTTGATACCATTACAACTTAAGGTTTTTTTGTTTAGCCCCTTATCCACAGGTCCTATTAGGGCCAGTTCCTATAGGACCATAACTTGTTCGTGCCAGTTCCGTGGTTTATCTACAGTGCCTCCAGCAGGGGAACCCAACCGGTTTTTGGGACCTGCTTCTCTGGGGTCCCAGGTCTGGTTCTTGATGGACCTAAATGTGACATCAGTGCACTGTTGGCTACTGATTGGTCAGGGGGAGGAGTCACTGGATCTTTCAGAAACTTTTCAAAACACCGATCCGCCATTTGCAATTTCTCGAACCCAGTGTAGTGGCTGTACCTATTTTAAAGATTTTAAATACAATAATGACAACACCGTGGTCTAATGCTGAAGTGCTGGCATTTTTTGTGCTTGCTGGCCGACAACAAAATTCATAGCGAGCTAGATGGAGCTCCGCCGGTCTACCCGGGTCCTCTCCACCGGAGCATTGGAGCCGGGCAGGGCGTCATCTCTTCGAGCTAAAAGTTATCTGTGGAAGTAAGTAAAAAGCAAAATTTACCAGTACGTTTTTTTGAGTTGAAAACTGTGCGTAAATGGTGAAAGTCTGTTTTCTTCAAGAGCTAGGTAGTAGAGAAGCTAGCTGGCCGTAGTTATCATGTAGCTTTGTATAGTTTATCATCACAATATAACACCGGTAGATATTGTTGGGATATGAATTTTATGTCATATCACACATCCCAGTCAAATGTTAGATACAGTAGGAATGTGATACAGACCGACCGACCAGCAAAAACAAAAAACAAAACAAAACAAAAAAACACGACAACGGCTGTGTTCTGTTAGGCCAGCATACATCGTCAGATCGCCATACGCGTAGCGCAAACTGATGGCTGCATCTATCCACTGAGATCACCATAAGCTTCTATTTAATTAGCCATATCACACCATGATGTAGCAGTTAACCTGTCAGATCATCATATACTTTGTTATTAACAGCTGTATGACACCCAAACGCCTCAATATGCCCTGAATTAGCAGTTTAACAGCTGTAAAACACCCTGACTTTGCAGTTTAACAGCTGTATGATACCCTGACTTTGTAGCTAACCTGTCAGATCATCATATACTTTGTTATACTTTGTTTGTCACCAAAACGATTTACTTACGATTCAGGAAACGCATTGCACAGTGTAAATGCACAGTAATACCATTTGTACTTTGCACCAAAACAATGTACTGACTTACTTTTTGTTGTATCTTGCAGTGTAGGATGATCAGACTGCTCCTCTGAATGTCACAAGCTTATTGCAAAATGTGCATGCGCGCGCATGCGTATTTACTAAATGTATGCTACCATAACATGTATGCTGAATGAACAGAACAGCAGCAAAAAGAAAACCCTGACATAGTTAGTGTGTAGCTTCGTGTAGCTTCTCATCACAATAGACAATATCGCCGCAATATGAATTTTATGCCATGTTGCACATCCTGACTCTGTATCTAACATCAGACTGTTCTTACAGTCAGTAAACACCTACAGATGTCCACAACAGTGAAACATATGATCGTCAATACTAACTAAACATCCAACCATCCATCCATTTTCTTCCGCTTATCCGGGGTCGGGTCGCGGGGGTAGCAGCCTAAGTAGGGAGGCCCAGACTTCCCTCTCCCCAGCCACTTGGACCAGCTCTTCTGGGGGAATCCCGAGGCGTTCCCAGGCCAGCCGAGAAACATAGTCCCTCCAGCGTGTCCTGGGTCTTCCTCTGGGCCTCCTCCTGGTGGGACGTGTACGGAAACCCTCACCAGGGAGGTGTCCAGAAGGCATCCTAAACAGATGTCCAAGCCACCTCAACTGGCTCCTCTCGACGTGGAGAAGCAGCGGCTCTACTCTGAGTCCCTCTCGGATGATCGAGCTTCTCACTTTGTCTCTAAGGGAGAGCCCAGACACCCTGCGGAGAAAACTCATTTCGGCCGCTTGTATCAGAGATCTCATTCTTTCGGTCACAACCCAAAGCTCGTGACCATAGATGAGGGTAGGATCGTAGATCGATTGGTAAATTGAGAGCTTCGCCTTTTGACTCAGCTCTCTCTTCACCACATCAGACCTGTACAGCACCTGCTTCACTGCAGATGCTACACCTATCCGCCTATCGATCTCACGTTCCATTTTTCCCTCATTAATGAACAAGACCCCAAGATACTTGAACTCCTCCACTTGGGGTAGAACCTCCTCCCTGACCCGGAGAGGGCACTCTACCCTTTTCTGGCTCAAGACCATGGCCTCGGATTTCGAGGAACTGATCTTCATTCTGGCCGCGTCGCATTCGGCTGCGAACCGCTCCAGCGAAAGCTGTAGATCACGATCTGATGAAGCCAATAAGACTACATCATCTGCAAAAAGCAGAGAAGCAATCCTAAGGCCACCAAAACGGATCCCCTCAACACCTTGGCTGCGCCTAGAAATTCTGTCCATAAAAGTTATGAACAGAATTGGTGACAAAAGGGCAACCATGGCGGAGTCCAACTCTCACCAGGAACAAGCCCGACTTACTGCCGGCGATGCGGACCAGGTTCTGACACCGGTCATACAGGGACCTAACGGCCCGTACCAAAGGGCCCGGTACCCCATACTTCCAGAGTACCCCCCACAGGGTCCCCCGAGGGACGCGGTCCAACGCATTCTCCAAGTCCACAAAGCACATGTAGACCGGTTGGGCAAACTCCCACGCACCCTCCAGGACCCTGCTGAGAGTGTAGAGCTGGTCCAGTGTTCCACGGCCAGGACGAAAACCGCAATGGTCCTCCTGAATCCGAGGTTCGACTATCCGACGGACCCTCCTCTCCAGAACTCCCGAATAGCCCTTACCAAGGAGGCTTAAGAGCGTGATTCCCCTGTAGTTGGAACACACTCTACGGTCCCCCTTTTTGAATAGGGGGACCACCACCCCGGTCTACCAATCCATGGGAACTTCCCCCGATGTCCACGCAATATTGCAGAGTCGTGTAAGCCAACACAACCCTACAACATCCAGAGCCTTAAGGAACTCCGGGTGAATCTCATCCACCCCTGGGGCCCTGTCACCGAGGAGCTTTTTAACTACCTCAGTGACCTCAGCACCAGAGATTGGAGGGCTCAACCCAGAGTCCCCAGGCTCCGCTTCCTCAGTGGAAGACGTGCCGGTGGGATTCAGGAGGTCTTCAAAGTATTCTGCCCACCGACCAACAACATTCCGAGTTGAGGTCAGCAGCACACCACTCCCACTATAAACAGTGTTGGTGGCATACCGCTTTCCTTCCCTGAGACGGCGGATGGTAGACCAGAATCGCCTTGAAGCTGTGCGGAAGTCGTTCTTCATGGACTCTCCGAACTCCTCCCATGCCCGAGTTTTTGCCTCAGCGACCACCTGAGCCGCATGTCGCTTGGACTTCCGGTACCCATCAGCTGCTTCCGGGGTCCCACAGGCCAAAAAGGCCCGATAGGACTCTGTAGATGAACATATGCTGTATATATTCATAAATTAAACGGATTCTTTCATTTTTCTGGACTGGATAATATCATGCATTGAATAATTAAAAATGTAACGTGAGACGTTAATTATCTTTGACCCATCAAAAATGAACGTGGTCATTTATTTTCAGAATCAAAATTTTAACATCATACATTTACATTAATTGGCAAATTGGAAAATAACAACATGGCTAATTTAGCAAGTTTTACAAGGAGTAGACAATACGGCGATTGTTTTCTCACTTCCAGCAGTACAACAGACATTAACCATACGGTGATGGTTGAAAAACTTCACAACAGACATTTCTGGAAATATCTGGATTAATTTGCTAGCAGATAGAAGAGTTTAAAGATTGAAGTTTAGAGGGAGGGAGATGGTGTGTGTGTGAGTGAAAAGTGTTGAACAGAACGGCACCCTCCATTCGACCCAGCTTTCCTCGGTACGCTCGGTAGTGAACTCGACTCATTACCTCTCTGACGATGAATCAGTGGAAGCGGAGCTCCAGTTAAGCTACCGGTCCAGCGTCTCCGTAGGATGGCAGAGAACCGTCCGGAGTGGTGGCGGGACTTCATCAACAACAGTTCACCTCACGAGTGAACTTCACATGAGTGGAGTCCTTCAGAAGTTCCACTCAGAGGTGGAAGATGTCATAATTCCCACAAGACTCGGAAGAGCTCTGGATTATGCTGGACTTCTGTTCTCCCAAACGACTGGAGCTGCAAACTCTCCACCCGACTCCAACTGGGTTGAACTAGGAAGTACCGACATTTAAAGAGCTCTATTTCCGGTTCATTTGGGAGTTTCTGATTGGTCGATGGACCAAAACAGAGGTGTGTTTTGTGATGTAAGGTGTTATTAAAAAGTCAAGGAAAAAGATTAAGATTGTTTAAGAACAGACAAAAGATATCATGAAGAACTCAGACTTCGTGGAGTCAATTCTCTAGTATCTTGCTGTAAAAGTTAAACATGACATTTCTTTTTCAGTAAACTTGCAGTTGACCGAAACTTGAACTTTGACCAACTTACACAACTTGCTCATTTCAAACAGATGATCAAGAAATTGAATCATTACTCTGTAACATATTCCAACTTGATTTCCACTTTGAATGAGGATTAAAAATCGTTATTACTGTTTCACAGTTGATTTAAAAATGAGTAGTTCACTTCAACATTTAAAAATGGATTGAACTAACACAATTTGATTATCAAACATTTGTAAAATAGTAATGATAATCGAAAGTAGTGTTCTTTCACTTGATTAATTCAAGAAAGAAAGTCTCAGGATGGGTCAACCTGTATTTCTGGATTCAAATCAATGAAATGACAGTT